CACCCATGATACCCTTGAGAAGATATTATAGCATATAAAAGAGTGTGGAGAAATTCCCCATCGGTTAACATTAAAGGTACTACTAACGTAGTACAATACGAGATGTGTGCTAGGCACATGTCATGAGTTTGAAGTTTGAATTAGGATAGAACATCACAATGAAACTGCCCCACAAGAAGACCATATCTGGTATTTAAGTGTAGCGGGTAGATGGGTGAGCTGTGGGTTGGTTATCCACCGAGTTTGAATTAGTTTCAGTTAATCCAAGAAAATGAAGTGGAGAAAAAGGGTTCCTCATTAAGTAACGCGTATATTGAGGCATAGTTGATTGAATGATCGTGGATAGAAAACAGAACGTATTCTATCTTCATGTTTTCTTCAGTAACATTTATTCTATTTAATACTGTATCAAAGCACTCAACAGAAAACAATGACAATATATAATGTACATCCACTTCTTTTTGTGACGATGGTGTCCGGGCCAGCTTAAGTGTACTCCACTAGGAACATGCTACTCCACCAGCACAAGTATCGGGTAACTGTGCCCTTGAACGCTTAATGTAAATGCATCAACCTGCTTATATTGCACCTAATTATACACTTCACTTTTTCAAGTCATAGGATCTATTGTTGTTGAACGTTAAATTCTTCTCATGCATCCTTGACCCTAAATTCAGCTCAATGCAAATAGTTCTTATAAGCATTCTCTAAAAAAGAGCCAAAATGTACGATCCAGTCCTCGCTCTATCACTCTAATAAGTACATTTATGCTGCAGTACATCATCTAAAATAAAATAACAAAAAATATAGTACCACATAAATAAAATTAATTACTTTAGACTTCTCAAAAAAAAATAAAGAATAAAAGCCAAACCTGAGTAACTCTGTAATTGAAATAAGGATCGAACTCGTGAATAACACTTTCATACTTAATCACCTGTTGAAAAGCACAAATCAATCACACGTGATCAAATGAAATTATAAAAATGCTGGAAAATAAGAAAATCAAAAATCAGATCCAAATTACACGCTAGGAAATTAATTTCAAATAATAGATTTGAATTAAAGGAACTTACGGAGAAAAGACGGATCGAGAAAGCGAGAACGCCGATGAGAATGAGAATGAATAATGAGAAGACATTGCCGAAAGCCTGACGGAGGCTTGACGGCGTCACTACGGTATCTGAAGAGGCCGCCATTAACGGCCAACTGAAAGCTTTGGAGTTTGGAGCTAAAGAGAGTGACAGTGCAGTTGCGCGCAGGGTTTTTGGTCTTTGAGAAGACTTTGTAGCAGCTGACATTTGAAAAGACGGATTAGTCCTCCGATTTAACTAAAATAACAAAACTAGTCCCTTAATTATGTTCTTGAACAGTTTTGACCTTTTAAGTTTGAGAGCAATTCTAGCCTTTGTCAAATATTTAACAAACTCATATTATTAAATTAAAAGAAAATTTTGAACGAAATGATTTAATAAAAAATACCACCCATCAAATACAAAAAGTTATAGCACCAAAAGCTATACTAGACACTAAAAATATATTAAAAATAACTTAAATTACACCTAAAATAATACAATCGAAATAAAAATAGACCAAAACTGTAAAAATTGCAATGCACCTCTAGATGTGAGATCTCCTTAATAGCATGTTTGGCCAAGCTTTTTTTTGTGCCAAAAGTGCTTTTTTGGCCAAAAGCACTTTTGGCCAAAAATTGAGGTGTTTGGCCAAGCTTTTGGAAGGAAAAAAAGTGCTTTTGAGGAGAAGCAAAAGCAGTTTTGGAGAAGCAGAAAAAAGTAGCTTCTCTGCAAAAGCACTTTTCTGAGAAGCACTTTTGAGAAAAATACACTTAGAAGCAGTTTTCAAAAGCTTGGCCAAAAACTAATTACTGCTCAAAAGTGTTTTTCAAATTAATTAGCCAAACACAAACTACTTCTCACCAAAAACATTTTTTTAAAAGGGATTTTTACATTCCCATGCCATATAGTAAACTATATTACCCTCCATGCTTAACTTTTAATATAATTACCTTTTATATACCTAATTACTATTTATGTACATTTTAGGAGTCTTAATGGTATTAATTAGTCTCCTATTTAAATCTACCGTATATTCCCACTCCCCCAAGTTTCTCTCTCCAAATCTCACCCCACTCACCCACGTATCAAACCACACCCCACGATTTCCTCTTCAATCACCCACTATTTCCTCTTCTAAAACCAGCGAAAATCTGTAACCCCTCCATCATTGACAACCATTAAAAAAGCTTTGAAGCTTTGAATTCGAATTTGGGTTTTCAAAAGACATTGTTTGTTTGGATTGGATGTTGTCGCAAAGAATTGAGAATTTTCTCTACGTCTCTCTCTATCTCTCAGTCCCAAATTTCAGTAATATAAAGCAAAGAAAAAGAGAGCAGCAATTCCACCATTGACAGCCATTAAAAAGCTCTGAAGCTTTGAATTCGAATTTGGGTTTTCAAAAATCATTATTTGTTTGGATTGGGTGTTGTTGCAAATAATTGAGAATATGGTTTGGAGTTTATATCTCAATTTTGAGGGGTTTTGGTGAAGATTATACTTGGTTTTGGCTGAATTTCATATTGAAACTCGAAGAAGAAGAAGAAGAAGAAGAAGAAGAAGAAGAAGAAGAAGAAGAAGACATACATTATATTGCAGAAATTGTAGAAAAATTGTATTCTTTTGTTTGTTTATTTTTCTTTTATTCATTTAACTACTGTATGAAAGTTGAACAACATTGTATAAAAATTGTATTTAAGTGGTATTATATTGTAGTTGTATATAACTGAGTAGAAATAATGTACGAAAATTGGAGATAAGTTGTATAATATATAATTAGTTGTATAAAATTTATTTTTACTATGTATAAATCAAATACAAAATATACAAAAGACATATTATATAAAATTTGTATTTAAGTTGTATGTTATTGTAGTTGTATTTAATAGGTAGAAATAATGTGTGAAAGTTGTAGATAAGTTGTATAATATATAATTAGTGGTATGAAATTTATTTTTACTATATATAAATCAAATATAAAATATACAAAAGACATATTGTATAAATTTTGTATAAAAATTATTTTTAAGTTGTACGATATTGTAGTTGTATATAACTGGGTATAAATAATGTATGTAAGTTGTAGATAATTTAATTTCTTATCTCCAGCTAGATATTAGTCATCCTCAGCAAGTCTTGGTTTAGCAGAGTTATTTTGGAGGTTCAATTTGTTGTAAACACCAAGAGCAACCCTAATTATCTTCACAGCTCGAAATTTATAAAAATCGAACATAAGTTAGAATCTGCACAAGAATTTTTACACGTATACTGTTCTCGTGATTGGATATCTCCTTATATTCCTTTTTGTGAAGCATAATTTGCAATCAGATCACTAATTTTAATTTCATTTCTATCATCTACTTTGATGCTTTAATGTTTCTTTTTTTCTTTTTCTTTTCTAGTTTGTTGATTTTTTGTAGATCGAGGATGAAGAACGACAGATAATATCATGAATTCAAGCGGAAACAGTTTTCGGGCGAAGCAAGAATCTGGTGGAAACAACAACAGTAAATTGACCTCAAAGGCTACTACATCAACAAGTTCAAGGCAGTGGGGAGGCTTTAAAAATCCAAGAATTGTACGTGTATCCCGTACTTTTGGTGGAAAAGATAGACACAGTAAAGTCTGCACAATAAGGGGTCTTACAGATAGAAGAATTAGACTTTCAGTGTCTACTGCAATTCAATTCAATAAGGGGTCGAAAGTTGTCAGTTTTGTGTTCGATTTAAGAGGAAAGAGAAGAGGAGGAAAAAAAAGAAGGAAAATGGTGTAACTAAATCCCTTAATTGAAGGCACTAATAATGGATTGAAAGCCTTTTAAGGTGGAATGTATATATTTTGTAAACAAAACTTGTGTAGATAGGGTAATTTACTAAACATAAACATTTAGGGTAATAAAGTTTCCAATATGGCATAGGAATGTAAAAATCTCTTTTTAAAAAACGTACTTTTAGCGTAGAAGCACTTCTCAAAATAAGATGATTTTAGAAGCTTGGCCAAACGGGCTATAAGTCTTCTTTTCTTTAATATTTCCCATTAAATTTAAAAAAATAAGGTCGGTTAAATATTTAATAAGGACCAAAAATGCTGATTTTTTGCAAATTTAAAGGATCAAATTGCTCAGATTATATTTGAAAGGCTATTTAAACTTTTTCCAAATGCAAGAGACCATATTTTTCGCCCATCTTGGTTCGAATGTTTCAATTGGTTTCCTCGGACATACAGCAACGTGGCAGTCTATTATTCGGTAGTGCTACTTGGCTTTTTTTAATTTTCCTACTCTTTTGCTTCCGGGGGTAAAAATGGAAAAGTATGTTACATTGCATAAAGTGAAATTGTATCTGGTTCCTAAAACTTTGTATTATTACAGAAACTCCTCGGTTAATTCTTAAAATTGCAACTGCATATATTTCATGAGAGTTGTGATTTTAGATTTTATTGATTTATTTCATCTTTGAATCATTTTTTTTTTTGTTAACCATGCAGTACCTATTAATAGCATTTATTGAAGATAAAATGTTTTCCTCATACTATGTTATTATTTATTTTGTTATTGAAGATGATACAATGAAAATAAAAAGAATCCCCGAAAAATATTTTCTTATTATCAAACACTAAATGTGACTTTCTCGTAAAAAATTTAAAAAAAATAAAATAAAACTTCTGTCATATATACCAAAACACTTAAATTTTGTGTTATATGAAATTTATAAATACATTAACTTGAATAAGATAATTAAATTTTTACCAAATACGGTAATTAATTGAAAATTTTATTATGGATTTTTTTTGAAAATGCAAGTAGTCCCACATAATTAATATTTCTTACATTAATAGCTTCTCCTAATTGAAATAATATTAGAAAAAATGTCTTTATAGTAACAATTACTAGAGAAATTATATATAAGGTAGAATTGTTCAATTTCCTATTCCCTTTTGCATAAGGAAAAGAATAGGATAAAGTAGGCCTTATAAATATTTCGAGAAAAAGAATCCAAATTCCATTGATTAAATAGTACTCCCAATTCCGACGTCTTCTTCGGCGAGTTCACTCCACGCTCCGGCGGGTGCTTTTTTTCATCTCCTTCTACGGCGAATTCAGCTGTGAAATCGAATTGTAAGCACCTTTCTTCTCTCCCTGTATTTGCTTCTATACGTATCTCTTCAGGCCGAAACCCTAATCTCTTTTTTATTCAATTATTTTTGTAAATTACGAACTGTGATTTAGATCTTATGCTTTGTATATACTCTCGGTGCATAAATAATAGCCTCAAATATGCTTTGTATAGTGCTTTGTATTTTTGCTAGTTAAATAGTGGATATGGCCAAAAGATTGAATCTTTATCAGTATTTCGTGTGTTTTAAGCAGTTTTAGACGTTAGCACTATTACAGTAGGTCCGTTGCTTTCTAGGAGGGATTTAACCTTTCATAGCTTTATACGTGCAGAAAATTAACAGAATATCTAATACTTTTTTTCTGTATGCCCATAATTTTGGCATCAGATGAGTTTAAATGGAGTAACGTGTTCAGTGATGATTCATATAGCCGACCTCAACTTGTTTGGGACTGAGGCGTTATTGTTGTTGTTGCCACGTCTGTTTCCCTGTTAATATCTCTTTGTTCCAATCAATCCATCAACACCAGTTGTTGAGCTAAGGTTGATACGTTAGAGTTTCGATAATTAAGTAATTAATCCCTTTTATGGTGATATTGAAGTTTAGGTATTTGGTACTACTTAGTATTTAGTTGGTTCCTTTTTATCAGCAGCATATTTTTTAAGGTTCATTGAGATGTAGTTTATTGATCTACCGACTTATACCTGTCTTTTTCTCTCTGTACAGTAGGTGGAGGAATTTTAAATCCGGGGTCTTCAGCATGGCGTCTCTCAAGGAACTTCTCCCAGCAGCAAAATCAGCTACCAGTACATTTTATGACCATACAAATGACCCGTGGTTCAAGAATAGGTTCGGTGCAACTGAGGCAGAGAAATCTGCTGTTATCAAGGCAACTCCGGTGCCCTCTTATCTAAAACGGGCTGGTTTTAAGCCATCTAAGCTCGAGGATTTTGGGGATGGAGGAGCATTCCCTGAAATCCATTACGCTCAGTATCCACTCGATATGGGCAGAAAGAAAGACTGGAAAGCTGGGGGAAAGACTTTGCCTGTTACCGTGGACGAGCATGGTGAAGTAAGATATGATGCAATTGTGAGGCAGGGCGAGAACACAAAGAAAATTGTTTATTCTCAGCACAAAGATCTTATCCCGAAGTTTGTGAAGGACGAGGATGAAGAAGAGATGGATTTGGACGAGAAGCAAAAAGTAATCGATGAGACAATGCAGGAGACTAAGGCAGCACTTGAGAAGATTGTAAATGTGCGGTTGAGTGCTGCACAACCCAAAAATGTTCCCACACAATCTCAAGACTCCAAGTTTATTAAGTACAAGCCTTCCCAGCAATCGGCAGCTTTTAACTCGGGTGCAAAGGAGAGAATTATTAGGATGGTAGAGATGCCTGTGGACCCGATAGAGCCACCGAAGTTCAAACACAAAAGGGTTCCTAAGGCCTCTGGTTCTCCACCTGTGCCTGTTATGCATTCTCCTCCTCGTCCTGTTACAGTGAAGGACCAGCAGGATTGGAAGATTCCGCCTTGTATATCAAACTGGAAGAACCCCAAAGGTTACACGATCCCACTTGATAAGCGTCTTGCTGCTGATGGCAGGGGACTTCAAGAGGTCCAGATCAATGATAATTTTGCAAAACTATCAGAGGCTCTGTATGTTGCAGAACAGAAAGCCAGAGAAGCAGTTGCAATGCGGTCAAAGGTTCAGAAAGAGATGGTGATGAAAGAAAAGGAAAAGAAAGAAGTGGAACTTCGGGAGTTGGCCCGCAAGGCAAGATATGAGAGAACTGGTGTAGCACCCCCAGCTGCTGCACCTGTGCCTTCTGAGAGGGACACCATGAATGTTGATGATATGAGTGTGGATTATGAGCGTCCAAGAGATCACCCCAAAGAGTCAAGGGAGGACAGGGAGGCGAGATTACCGCGAGACAAGATACGCGAGGAGCGACGTCGGGAGAGAGAGAGGGAGAAGAGATTGGAGGCAAAAGATGCTGCGATGGGTAAGAAGAGTAAGATCACCAGAGATAGAGACCGTGATGTCAGCGAAAAAGTGGCTCTTGGGATGGCTTCTACTGGTACATCAAGAGGAGAGGTCATGTATGACCAGAGATTGTTTAACCAGGAGAAAGGGATGGATTCTGGATTTGCCACTGATGATGCCTACAACGTCTATGACAAGGGCCTATTTACTGCTCAGCCCACTCTTTCTACTCTATACAGACCAAAGAAAGATGTTGATTCTGAAATTTATGGAGGTGCAGATGAGCAGCTGGACAAGATCATGAAGACAGATCGATTTAAGCCTGACAAGGCATTTGCTGGAACATCCGAGAGGGCTAGTACGAGAGATGGACCTGTGCAATTTGAGAAGCAAGTTGAGGAAGCTGATCCATTTGGTTTGGACCAGTTCTTGACAGAGGTTAAGAAGGGAAAGAAAGCCATGGCAAATGTTGGTAGTGGAGGCACCATGAGGGCCAGTGCTGGCACCACGCGAGATGGTTATGAAACATCTAGCAGAACTCGTATTGCTTTTGATAAGGGGCGTTGAGTTATCTTTCCGTGCCTGCGCCCTGGTATTTGTGGGTCCATCTTGGCTGCATCTCTGCTGATGCAGAAGTTCAAAATCAAGTTGTCTTTCATTTTACTTTATGCATTAGCATGAAATTACTCTTCTACTATTGATATTCATGCTGTTGTAACATATCTCCATTATTGCAGTGTGAAGTTAAAATTGTTTTAAGTCATCCTCTCAATCTTCAGGCTGTTGGAACATGTTCAATTATTGCTGCAACTGCTTTCCTACTTGACAACCAGTGATGAATTGGAAGATGATGAATACATATCGCTTAATTAAATTATGTGATTTTGACCGTTGGGTATAAAAATTTGTTTGGATATGTGAAATTTCAGGGAATTTGTTGGTTTTTTTAGTGCAAATTGTCTGTGTTTTCTGGTGTAAGGCCTTTGCTTTCGTCTTAATGAACTTTTGGTCCAAAGGAACTCACTCTTTGCACAATAATCATGTGACCTAGGTATCTTTTCAGGAAAAATTTATTCATACCGGATGTTTATACCAAATCAATGATTATAAGACGTGTGTCTTTTATACACATATTATCACTTAATCATGATTAAGCGTTATCTATTGTCACTTTAATTTTAACTAAAGTTAAATTGTTTGGTTTGGTGTAAATACCCGATGCAAGTTTTTATGGCATCTTTGTATCGTGATTCAGGCCATAATCAACTGAGTAAATGAAGTTAGTCAAACAGAATGGTAGTTTAATTGAACAAAATGGTTGAAGACCACTGATAAATGGTGAAAAGCACATACTTTTGAGTATATTTGCATATTAATTCTTGTGTGTGTCGCGGGTGAAATATACTCATTATGTGTTTCTTATGTGTAGGAACGAGTTTGGATGATAAATGATCAAAAGATGACAATTCGACACAAAAAGAAGAAATTAAAGGAGGGGGAGCTCGTCTATTCTCGTGCGCGGCACGAAGACAGACGCAAAAAAGGAGAAAAGTGAAGGCACAAAACAGCGAAGCGAAGCAAAGGCACAGATCTCTTTGCGAAATGGAAGAATTTCAAAAGCTGGATCCGCGTCAAAGTCCGTGTCTAGACGCGAAAAACGGTAGCTAAGCCTTAGTTCTTTGTGGGATTCGACTCTGGAGTTATAGACCGGATTATATTTGCAGCGACCACTTATCCTTTTTAGGACTAGAGTTGAGCGTGATCAAATTTTGGCGCCGTTGCCGGGGAACTAACGGTGTAATTGTAGTTGTATATATTGTTAGGTTACAAGTTTGAACTTTTATTTTTGTTTTGTTGAATTTGATTTTTTATTTTTGTTTTACTTGTTAATTTGAGAAACATGGCATCCTGAAATTATGAGAATTTTGATATTGGTAATTCTACTGTTGATCTTCCTTGTGTGAATCGTGGCGGAAACCATCCATGGCAAAATTATCAAAATATTTCCCAGAGCGAGTTATGTGCACCAACTCAATCTTATGTGTGGAATGTGTGTGATATGTGTGGTGGTCAAGATGGTCATTTTCATGGTTGTGCTTATATTTCTTATCTTCCCCCGACCCCTTACTTTGATGGTTCTTCTTTTTCTTGTGAAGTTAATAGGAACAAAGAACACGGGGATGATAACCTAAAAGAGATCAAGGATGTGCTAAAGTACCTATTGGAACAAAATGATGAAAGACAGATACACATACAAAGGCAAGATGCTACTATTCGCAACCTGGTGGCACAAGTGAGTCAACTAGTTGAAGCATTTAATGCTCAACAAGCCAATATTGGGAATAATAGTCAAGAAGAGCATGAATTAGACACTGAAATTAAGGTGCTAATGGAGGAGGTCAGAGTAGAACACCAACAATCTATCCAACTAGAATTTGAGGATGCCAATGTTCAAGAAGTAACACTAGAGTTAGCCAAGGACATTGAAGATACAAAGTTAGTTGACGCTAGTATGATTGGTGTTGAGGAGGTCAAAAATCATGAATTTCATGTATTTGAGCACGTTGGACCTCATTCCAAGCACTTCTCTACATTATGTTCCGATGGTGAAAAGGGAATGGATTCTTACGAGCATAAAAAGGAGTCCAAGGAAGAAGTAGATGAGACTTATACTTTAAAATTCTCAAGGCCGTCTAGGAAAAGTGACACTCCTCGGTCGAGAGCCAAAAAGTGCATAAGGCTTTATCTTATTTTTGGCTCGCAAGAATTTGTACCGCCCCAAGAGCATAATCATAAGCTTGAAGCAAAACTTGAGGTTCAATTCATAAGCTCGAGGTGGATACAAAAAGTGATTCGCGTCGTGCCGCGACGTTAAAACAAGCACTTGCTGGGAGGCAACCCACCTTTACTGCTTTCTTTTGTTTTTTTTATTATTTTTGTAGTGTCAATTTTTGCTTTTCTAGGATCATGGAAAGCAAAGCTATTGGAAGGATGCAACAAAAACCAGATGGTTGGAACTAAGTGTGAGGCACCGCACGAAGGACCAAGTCTGGGAGAAGTCTGAGTATCCCATGAGTTGTTGATGCTTCGGCCTTTAGCCTACCAGGGAGTTTTTGTCACCCTTTTGTTATTTACGGTGTGCATTGGGGACAATGCATTTAAATGTGGGGTGAAGAGACTGTTTGGGTAGTTTTCTATGTTAGTTGTATTATTTTATTCGCGTTAAAAAAAAGTAAAAATAAAAAATAGGTAGAAATAATCCCTCTTGATTTTTCTTATGACCACGGTTCTTTTCCAAGGGATGACATTTGAACCGAGTAATAGTTTTTTTTTCAAGTAAGATTTTCAAAAAGTTTTGGACTTTTCCTAACGATGGACTTCCTAGACAATTTTCTTGAGGGTTTAAAGTCTAAAGAAAAATACAAAAAGATCTTTTTTTTTGAACTGATAATGGAATGGGAAGATCTTGAGTATCTATGATTTTTGACATTTTTATGTTGGGGCTTAGAGCTGGAGCATTTGCACTGAGTACTTTCTTCTTTATTCTTGTGACTATATGCCTTGAGAATATACGTGTTTCTTTTGACGCTTGGGCTCGTCTATTGAATCTTGTTGTTACTTCCTAGTGTTTGGATTATTTCATGACTGTGCTAGTTGCTTTAACTTGAGAGTGGGGTCTGAGCCGTCCTAAGTAAGTCATGTGCATTGTGTGAGGCGAGATTTTGGTTGTACTCTGTGCCATTCCTTGTTAGTCTAGAACTTGCCCCGTGTATGAGTCGAAGCAAAATAAAGTCTTGTGAGTTTAGGAAATGATATAGGCGTTTCTTTGATTGATCCTTCAGTCTATTTGCCTAACAGTGATAAAATATTATCCTTTGTTTGTCCATTTGAGCCTGTAAACCTTCTTTCGTACCCACATTACAAGACGAATCCCTTTTGTTCTTAATGAAATCTTGTTGAACCTTTACCTCCGAAAGCACTTAAGTCGCTAGAAGTGAAGGAAAAGAGATTTGGTGGTTTTTGAGTGGAACCTAAGAAAGGCCAAAAGGTGCATGTGTATATTGAGAGAGCCACTACCTGGAAATACTAATTTATGGAGGGTATTGAAAAGATTTAAAATAAGAGAAAAAAAGATCCTTCCAATTCACTTTGATATGTGCTAGTGCTTATGTAGATGTGCTTAAAGTCAATGGGCTACGTTATTTACGGTTTCGTAGCAATATGCTGGGTGATCATGAAGAGGATGTGCTTAAAGGTTAATGTGTATTGTATTAAAAGTGCTTAGGAGGGTTAGCCATTACTATCCATATCTATCCTACCCATCTCATAGCCTACATTATAACCCTTGAAGACCTAATTGATCCTAGACTTTGCGAGCTTAAATTAGTAGAGACTTACGTTACAGGCAAGCCTATGGTACGAGCTTTGGGGGCACATGAGTTTCTTTGCAAGAGTGAGTGAATTCTTTCATTCTTTGAGTCCTTAAATTATACTTGAGTATGTGGACCGATTACTGTCCTTGTTTTGATTGTGAGGGCACATGCTTTACAGCGGATTGGTAAGGAACTCGTATCTTTAGTTTGCACAAAAAGTGAGTCACAAACAGGAATGTAGTGGAGTCAAATTTTGAGGCTAGGATGTTAGAAGAGTCACACAAATATTTTAAATACTCTTGGCATGAGTTTAGAACTTTAGAAATGTATGAAGAGTGCATATGATGGGTTCTAAGCGTTGATATAAACCGTTGTCATTGGTGTGATGCTTGAGTATGTCTAAAAAGGATTTCTTGCCTATACTCTTAATTTTAAGTTGCTCGAGGACGAGCAGGAATTTATGTGTGGGGTGGTGATAAATGGTGAAAAGTACATACTTTTGAGTATATTTGCATATTAATTCTTGTGTGTGTCGCGGGAGATTACATGATTTTTGAAGTGAAATATACTCATTATGTGTTTCTTATGTGTAGGAACGAGTTTGGATGATAAATTATCAAAAGATGACAATTCGACACAAAAAGAAGAAATTAAAGGAGGGGGAGCTCGTCTATTCTCGTGCGTGGCACGAAGATGGACGCAAAAAAGGAGAAAAGTGAAGGCACAAAACAGCGAAGCGAAGCAAAGGCACGGATCTCTTCGCGAAATGGAAGAATTTCAAAAGCTGCATCCGCGTCAAAGTCCGCGTCTAGACGCGAAGGCAGACGCGGATTCCAGCTTCTCCCATCCGAAGATGGATTGAAGAATTTCGCCCCTCATCGACCCTAGATCATATAAATACATCCTAAAACACCACTTTGAGGTGGAGGAGACACTACTTTAGAGTTAGACAACACCCTTGGAGGCAAGAACACGCTAGGAGCAAGGAGGAGGATTCAACCACGAGTTTTTCCCCTTCTTCTTCCTATTTTTATTGTTGGTTATGAATTTGAGTATTGTGTTTTCATATACTTTTATGAATAGCTAATTTGTTATCTACGATTTTGATGGAACCTTTTGGAGGATGAATTCTTGCTATGTTTTTATATAATTGAGATGTTGGATTTCTATACTTGTTTAACTACATGTTTGTTGTTGTTGATTGAATGACCATCAATTGACTGTGCCTATTTAGTGTGTACTGCTCGAGAGAGAGTACATATTTAGGTAGTTGTTGATCAATATCACTCCTAAGGTATGTGAGAGATCAATACGGAGGGTTTAAAGGTGGGATTAGAGATAATGAAACCTTGGTGCGATCGTAGTGAGCGGTGAATTAGTGCCAGCTAGTGTAGTTCGAGAGAATACATCTATTAAATTGTGGTAGTTGCTCGAGAGAGAATTACGACTACCAAAGTACTCACGATCGGTAGAGA